TACTGATCTATTTCTCTGTACTTGGTTGAATTGTCTGTGTGTGTGGCCGTGGCTCCTGCTTGGGTGATAGAGGGGTTGATGTATGTGGCAGCCAAGGTGGATATGCAGGTATAGTCCCACACTAATTGTCTATTATTTTTTCCATGGGTGAAGTGTGATTCCATCTGGTCGTCTAGCAAATCTAACAGAATTACGATTCACTAGATTGCAAAACTCTCTCTCTCTGCTGGACACTGGGCTGATGCAAGGATCCTCTTAATGATATCGTTGACTTCGTCATGTCGTGAATGCCAACCACTCTATTTTTCACAGTGAAGGCCATGCGATCCATATTCGTCTGCATCTGCATAACCGCAAATACACCTACATACAGTGTTGACTGGAGCAGCAAGGCAGAAGACGACTGCAATACGGAGCTGCTGCAAATCGAGATGTATTTCTGTCGCAGACATAGAAGTCCCCTACATGGGCAGTCTATACAGCTCTGAGTTGCTCAGGATCACTGTGTTGTCATTTATTGAACAATTAACCACAGGTGATTGTAGTGCTATTAAAATGCTAATCTAACCTATATAGATACATAGATACAGAGTTACGTCTGCCCTACATAACGTGTTCGATGTGTCTTTTACATAGTAACTATAATAATAATACTAATAGTAATAATATATCTTGTGTACACAATAACTACAATTTTACGCTGTAAAATAAATATATCCTGTAAAATATGGCTTTAAAATCGCAGCGTGTCCCTTAAACAGCAAACTTTCTTGAAACTATGTAAATGATTTTCAAGTGATAAATTTATTAATTTATTTACCAACACATGAAACACAACAAACTAATAATAACCTAACCATAAAGCTATGAAATAGATACCAAATTTCCACGCGTCACTCCATGATGATGCTCACTCAATTTAAAAACAAAATTACCGAATGAAACGTTAATATTGTATATCATAGAGAGTTTGAAGATCAAGTTTGACTTTTTGGGAGGATAAAGTAGGTGTTTATCATACTAATGATGAGGATGATGCCGTTCTGGATGATTGTTGCTAGTTATGCTTGTATTATGCGAGTTATGCTTGTATTATGCGAGAAAGATGATGACAATGGTGACTGAATTGACGCTATATAGGGATGTGGATGGTGATTTTAATGATCGTGAAAATTTTGATGATGGTGATTTTAATGATTGTGATAACGTTTGAGATGATGATTGTGATGAAGGTGACTATAAGGATCATGATAATAAGCTGGAGGCCTGACAGCTGAGTGGACAGCGCTTCGGATTCGTAGTCCTGAGGTTCCGGGTTTGGTCTCCGGTAGAGGCAGAAACCAATGGGCAGAGTTTCTTTCACCCTTATGCCCCTGTTACCTAGCAGTAAATAGATACCTGGGAGTTAGACAGCTGCTACGGGCTGCTTCCTGGGGGTTTGTAACAAAAAGGAGGCCTGGTCGAGGACCGGGCCGCGGGGACGCTAAGCCCCGAAATCATTTCAAGATAACCTCAAGATGGTGGTGATTGTAACAGTGATGTAGATGGTGATAACATGGCAGTAATATTATCTTTCATATTAACACAATTTATTGTTGTTTATGAGGCTATCGTTGCAAGTAATTACTACACGTTTTATGTAAGATTACCCAGTGTAATTATTCTCAGAATTTACATTTGTATTCATAATTTATTTCATATGTTACTTTTGATGGATTACTTTGGTAAACCCTTTTTGTATAATTACTTGTAAGGCGAGCTTATTACTATTATTATTATTACTGTAATTAATATCCTCATATATATATTTAGAACGCTTCTGTTGGAATAAGACTGATTAATCACAAAAATATATCTGTTAATACGTCAAACATTGGTTGTGGAAGTTTATATGAATATAAACGTTTATATAAAGACAGCAGACCGAGAAATGGAGCGCAGTCATAGATTAAGAAATGGAATGTTACTTATAACGTTATTTAATGGGGTGTAAAAACATATGAAGGGTATGAGGCATGTATTAAAGGGTGCAAGCTTCTGAAATAAATACCATGATTGGATATTTAAGGAATGGCTGAACAGGAATAATTTAAAAACACCTTTTGAGAAAATACTTTAAAGTTACGTTTAAAGTGAATATAAAGAATGATATGTAACATCAAGTAAAGTGCACGAGAGATGTTTTTGGGAATAACTAAGAATACAAAAACAGGCATTAAAGGATTATTCTGAAAACGTAAGCTGAGTAGTTTAAAAAAAAACACATTTAAAAACAGCTGAATGGATGTTTAAGGATGTAAAGAAATGTTTGAGGCTTTTGTCAAGATGTTTATGAACTGTGAACCAAATAGACTTGGTTGGCTTGGGAATGGGTTGTTTAGATATCATGATGGATAATTTACTCTGACTATATAATGGAAACTTTTATTCTTGAACTACAAGGATTCTATTAATTTTCTTACTTACCCTCGATAGCGAAAGGGTAAGATCAATTATTCTAGCACAAAGCTTTTCTATTTTTCTTACATTTTTCTTCACTTTAGATAAAAATTTAAAAATTAACTCTCCAAATTTCGTTTTCAGTTAAATTTAGCCTGACGCTAAGAGTGTTTCGATAACTCTTGTAACATTCTCAGAGGCAGAGTTGGAATGATTATAAATTGATTGCTTGATGAAGATTGTCACCCAAGAGGTGGCACGGGCATGAACAGCCCTTAAGATTACAAATTGCCTTCCTGTGGGATATGTATCCGAGGATGAGGTGAAGGTGATGAGGTGAATGGGATGTGGTGAAGAAGCACTTCACTTATAGGTCCACTGTATACTGTCACTGATGATTGCATGATGGCTGGGGCATTATGTTGCATGTTCCGTCCTGTACTGGAAGTTGGCACAGTGTATTGTTGATCAGACCACACACTAGAAGGTGAAGGGACGACAACGTTTCGGTCCTTCCTGGACCATTCTCAAGTCGATGGTCTTGACCATTCTCATCGACTTGAGAATGGTCCAGGATGGACCGAAACGTCGTCGTCCCTTCAGCTTCTAGTGTGTGTGGTCTGGTCAACATAGTTTAGCCACGTTATTGTGACTCATCGCCTGGATTTGGCAGAGTGTAATTTTGTGCTAGTTGGCTATTGATGTGTGGCTTGGTTTGCTTTGTGTATAATGCCTCGCCGAAATCGTCTTCTGTTGTCGCTGTATCTGTCGATTATTTTGGAGTTGTTAGTAAGTGTATCTCTGGTGATAATCTGGTTATGTATAGAGATTATATGTTCTTTTATAGGTCCTTGCTGCTTATTTGTCCGGCATCTTGAAAGGGATGTTATTGTCTTGCCAATACATGGAATTCGTTGGGGCCTAGTCCCCAAGTGGGCATGTGAAGCATAGAAAATATTTGTCTTTTTCAAGGAGTTTTGTTGGTTTCAGGAGAGTTCTTCATGAGGAAGTTGATAGTCTTCTTGTTCTTATTATGGGTATTAAACCCCATTCAAGTGAGATAAAACCGTCGAAGACGTCTAAGACATGTAAAGAATGTAATATGGAGTCAATTCAGAGATCTGCAGTTATCTAAAAGAATTTACTGCAAAAATGAGTGAGTTGCGAGTATTAATATATACAAAATTGTTTCTGTAATTCACTGTGAATATCTGAGCGCAACCTGTAGAAATGTTGGAAATAATTCTTGAAATGGTTTCGTAAAACTAAAATGAACTATAGGCAATGAGGCCAATAGGAAGTGCCTGCAGTAGTTAGACATTTGAAATATCATAAAACTGGATCATCTGACTGATAGAGGAAGATAAATAGTGCTAAACAGAATACAATGAACTAAACTTAGACTTAGAGATCACAAAAGCCAAAATGCATCTAAATATCCAATGAGAAAGTTTAAAATGAATGTGACAACTCGACAGAGGTTACAGCCTGGAGTATATAATCTAAAAAAATAAACTAAGAAATCGTACACAAAAACTCATGCAAGTGATAGTCACCAGAAGGTTGCCAGGAGCGTGAAGATCACGATGACCAGACGTCTCACACTCATTCCTTTGCCCACACCCGCGACCTTGGACACACTCGCGTCGCCTCCCATGGCTGCACAGCTCCGTGCGTTCACTCGTCTCAACACTCCAGTGCCTCTCTCAGAGCATCTGGACTCGTCCACGCCATTGGACTCGCGCAGGTCTCTAGATTCACCCAGATCTCTAGATTCACCAAAGTCTCCGGACTCGCCCAAGCCTCTGGACTCGCGCAAACCTCTGGGCTCGCGCAAGTCTCTGGACTTGAGCAAATCTCTGGGTTCAAGCAAGCCTCTGGGCTCGTGCAAGCCTCTTGACTCACCCAGGCTTCTGGACTCGCCCAAGCCACTGGACTCGCCCAAGCCACTGGACTCGCCCAAGCCACTGGACTCGCCCAAGCCTCTGGACTCGCCCAAGCCTCTGGACTCGCCCAAGCCTCTGGACTCGCCCAAGCCTCTGGACTCGCCCAAGCCTCTGGACTCGCCCAAGCCTCTGGACTCGCCCAAGCCTCTGGACTCGCCCAAGCCTCTGGACTCGCCCAAGCCTCTGGACTCGCCCAAGCCTCTGGACTCGCCCAAGCCTCTGGACTCGCCCAAGCCTCTGGACTCGCCCAAGCCTCTGGACTCGCCCAAGCCTCTGGACTCGCCCAAGCCTCTGGACTCGCCCAAGCCTCTGGACTCGCCCAAGCCTCTGGACTCGCTCAAGCCTCTGGACTCGCCCAATCCCCTGGACTCGCCCAATCCCCTGGACTCGCCCAAGCCACTGGACTCGCCCAAGCCACTGGACTCGCCCAGGTTTTGGGACTCGTGTAAGTCTCTGGACTCGCCCAAGACTCTGGACTCACCAAAGCTCCTGGACTCGTCCAACCTTACGGACTCTACCAGGCTTCGGGATTCGCCCAATGTTTCGGACTCGCCCAAGCCTGTAGACTCGCCCACACTTACATCTCCGAAGGCACACATTTCATCACAGTCCATCCTGTAAGGAAACAAAAAAGAACTATATAATTTATATGAAAAAAATATATTTTCATTGCTATCATGTATATGAACAAAGTAATGTCTGTCCATGGTTGGAGGCCAGATACATGAGGCTCACACAACTCTGCATGGTAATTTGTATCTGTATGGGAAATGTCGTAGGCGGGTCGGGGTTGGTCCTCTATGCCCCCTCTCTAAGTAAGATTGGCTCCCATTGCGACAACTAACAACTCGTATAAAGTCTTAAAATGGTGGTTTAATCTTCCATAGAGTTTTTCAATAACTTATTTAGCTGATAATCACAACGAAAATGTTGTTAAGCTTTGCATCAAAGTTACATAAGTAATATTAACATGGCAATGTTGTGAATTTTTCTGATAGAATATTGAATGTTCTGAGAGAGAGAGGAAGAGAGAGAATGGGAGCGAGAGTGATTGAGAGAGGGAGAGTGAATGGGAAGGAGGGGAGAAAGAGATAACAGGAGAAGGAAAAGGAACTATCAGAAAAAGCGCCAAGCTATGACGATTACATAGTACTGGGGATTGAATCAGGCTAAGGATTTGTGATGGGGACGGGGGGGGGGATGATGGTGCCCAACTACTGGGACGGTCGGGGATTGAACTCCGACCTGCCTGAAGCGAGACCGTTGCTCTACCGTCCAGCCCAACTGGTTGGGTGAAAATGGAGGAGGGGAGAGAAAGGGAGGAGAACAGAGAAAAAAGGAGGAGAGAGAAAGGGAGGAGAACAGAGAAAAAAGGAGGAGAGAGAAAGGGAGGAGAACAGAGAAAAAAGGAGGAGAGAGAAAGGGAGGAGAACAGAGAAAAAAGGAGAGAGAGAGAGAGAAAAGGAGGGAGTGCGGCAGAGAGGGATATCCAGGCCCCGCCGTGAACCCCATCAAGTACGTATATAAGAGTAAAGGTAAGTATCACTCGGGTATTGTTGAGGCGGATGGAAAGCATTACTTACGTGGGCCACAGCCATTTGCCTCCACCCTTCTCCTCCTAATGTGTTCGAATACACGGTTATGTTCAGATGTATCCCAATGTGTTCTAACTTTGATTACAATTGTTGCTTTTATTCCAATTGTGACCTTCCACATAATGTATCCATGAACAGTCATCCACTTGCCAGGTACTTATTTACATTGTATTTAAAAGAGAGGCATCAGGTGTTAGGAAGCGGTGAAAACAAAGTTGATCATGGGTGGAAATGGGGTCCGGAGGCCATTCAGTTGTGCGACAGCTGGTCTGATCACTAATCTACAGCATCACTACTCTACAGGATCACTACAGGATCACTACTCTACAGGATCACTACTCTACAGGACCCACTACTCTACAGGACCCACTACTCTACAGGACCACTACACTGCAGGACCAACTACACTGCAGGACCAACTACTCTACAGGACCAACTACTCTACAGGACCAACTACTCTACAGGACCAACTACTCTACAGGACCAACTACTCTACAGGACCAACTACTCTACAGGACCAACTACTCTACAGGACCAACTACTCTACAGGACCCACTACTCTACAGCACCACTACAGGACCACTACTCTATAGGACCACTACACTCGTGGAGTAATAATAATACAAGCGTGATCATCAGCACACTCAACTACTGCTTCAAGGCAAACAAGAAGTAATTAAAAATTCAGCAGCTCAAGATAATTTCTAAGTCAATATAATTTGAGTTATGTTTCGTTACCACAAAATAGATAAGTGATTGAGAGAGGTTAAATACTCGCAACTCATTGAATAACTGAATATTTATTCTGAATCACTGAATCGTTCATTAAAGTTTGTATTCCCTTTAGAGGGTGCAATGAATAACATATGTGCAACCTCTATTATTATTAATAATGGAGTAAAAATGCCACGAGATGGACCATTCAGGTGTGTGATTTGGAAATTATTGATGATTCACCGAGCGGCTTGTTGTAATATCAATTAGGTTTGTGTTGTTCAGGACGGGAAAAAGTTTTGTGTTAAGCACACATCATTTGTACAAAATCAAAGTGACACAGTATATACCATTTAATGTTATCAGGGAAGTGTTTAAGAGCCTTATTGTATGTTCTCATATCCATGTAAGTGAAGTAGTATTATTGTGTCTTCACGCTGACTTCGGTGGTAAGTATCACAATCAAGTGATAATTAAAGTTATGCGATATAAGCTGACCAGATTAAAATACACTCCGAAGAAAAGGTGATTAAACGCGTTTAAATTCAAAAGTTTATATACTTTTTATCTAAAATCCTGATGCCTTAAGACCCCATCCTGATACCAGAACCTTAAGACTTCATCCTCGTACCAGAACCTTAAGACTTCATCCTCGTACCAGAACCTTAAGACTTCATCCTCGTACCAGAACCTAAATATCTACAGCACTGAACCAGAATGAATCTCGAACATTGCATAGCCATTTTGGCTATGCAATGCCAAAATGGCTGACCATTTTATTTTGCAATTATCCAAGCCACCCATCTCCTCGCCTCTCTCTTTGTGTGTCTCACGGCACTAGTGTGGCGGGTGAGGTGATAGCGACCTGGACTATGTCATGTGGTACGACGCCCCACCACAGGGCCCGCTGACACTTGTAATATTCCCGCACCATCGCCTGTCACACAAGCCTGACGGAGGTGTCTGTGGCGTGCAGCAGCGGAAAGCGGCAATATAAAACGGTTAGCGATGGTGCAGAACGGTGTGGGAGAGTATGGAGAGGCGAGCAACGGTGTAGGAGAGAACACTATGGTTTTCAAAATATATTTTCGACACAGCAGCAGAAAGCGCCAGTGTGAATTTTTTGGGGAATAACGTTGTCGAGGGCAGGAAGTCAGTTAGATTTATCGAGGTACGTCGTTTTAAGTGGCGTTTTACCTGGGAATCGAACCCTGGACCATTTGATTGTGAACTTACTGCACTGACTACTGCAATACAGGACACGATCTGGAGAATTGCATAACAGTATGGAAAGGGGTTGACGGTGAATGTTGTGCACCAATGAAACAGGGGGTGCGGTGTGCAAGCGGGGCGTGGCACTACGGGTGAGAAACATTACAACAGTCCATCTGAAGGCGGCACACAACTCTGTGCCGACGGGACGAATTAAACGTAATAAGAGCATTTAGAACATATGACAACGTTCAAAAATGCGGCGTGCTGGGAACAGCACGCTGCATTTCAAAACCATGTGATTCTGTGAAGCTATGATAAAACTATTGCAAAGAACATCGAGGTATAGACTATGTCTATATTTCAGATGGTGCAGCGAACGCCATAAAACGACAAACTGAATCAGAGTTAGTGCCTGCACCGATTTTCATTTGTAACATGGGATGGTGCGAAGGCAATTTTCGAGACAACGAGAGTTGCAAACAGGTTTGCAAGCTACAGTGAGGATCTGGAGGGGTTTAAGGGGCTGAAATCGTGCGATCTGCGGATTGACGCTAGTCCCTAATTTCCTTCTAGAGACGATTACGTCTGAGTGGTGTTCCCTAGAGTTTGTGTTTCCACGAGAGAGAGAGGGGGGGGCGGACGGATAGGGAGAGAGAGAGAGGAGGAGGGAAAGAGAGAGAGAGAAAGAGATAAATGGGGGGGGGAGGTTATCTTGAGGTTATCTTGAGATGATTTCGGGGCTTTTTAGTGTCCCCGCGGCCCGGTCTTCGACCAGGCCTCCACCCCCAAGAAGCAGCCCGTGACAGCTGACTAACACCCAGGTACCTATTTTACTGCTAGGTAACAGGGGCATAGGGTGAAAGAAACTCTGCCCATTGTTTCTCGCCGGCGCCTGGGATCGAACCCAGGACCACAGGATTACAAGTCCAGCGTGCTGTCCGCTCGGCCGACCGGCTCCCTAGGGAAGAGAAGGGACATGAACATCAACATCAGAGTGCCAAAGCCATCCGTGACAACCGATACAACATCACCACCTTCTACAATATTACAGTCCATACTAACAATCTTCTAGAGAGCCAGACTTACCCACGACCAGCGTGAAAGACTGCCAGGAATATTAATGTTTGTATGAATCCATTTATGTAATGAGGATGACATTACCTTCTATTTTTGCTTATAATTTTGGAGAAGATGCCTGTCGATATTTCCTTTAACATTTGCATTACAGATCACGTGAATTAATACTAAATACGGGAGGAGATCTATGACGCAACCTGCTCTCGCACATGACAGCACATATATGACTTATTGCTTATAGTCACTATTTCGCTTATAAATAAGTACATATGTGACACATCCGAAGCCATATTTTATTTTCAAGGCACTAACTTTTTCTCTCAGTTTTATTAAACAATAGAGACTTTATACCAAATTTGACAATATCCTGAGTTACTTTACAATTTATTTAAATATTTTATTTTTGTTTTATTATTTTTATAAAATTGTAATGTCAATATAGGTATAGGTTCAGTATTAATTGTAATATCTTAACATACTAAGAAGGTTAGGTTAGGTTGTGGTTTTCTATTCAGCTTTTCAAGGTAAACTCAAATATTCACAATAAATTATTGTTACATATGCACTTATTCGTTAGCAAGATATTGACTATAAGCAAGTGCAAGAACGGGTTGTATGACGACAGGTATCACGGAGAAATGCTACGATTAAGCTATGGAGCAATATGTAATTGTTTGGAGTCACTAGGTTAGTGTGTTTGACCTCGGTACTTTGCAGTCAATAGGGTCTTTGCCGGTTTGAAGCTGTATGAACTGGAGCTCTCTAGTGAAGAGAGCCACATTACCAGAGGATTCACACCTAATCTGACCTGGATGCCTGTACAAAATTTTTTGGAAGACTGACAAAGTCGAGAATGCTTTTCCTTGTTATAGGAAGTTACTACTCAGTAAAAGATGTCGATGCCAACGACCATTTTCTGGTCGTCTGTGATAGCAAACAGTAATATACTGTCTGGAGGAGCAGTGATGAGTATTTGAAGCCTATGGCATTCTCAGTGCCAGGCAGCTAGCTTTG